GTCTCATTTCAATCAGAAATGTGCGGGCTACAATCATGCCTCATTAAGAAAGATTCGGGTTTTATTTTAGAGTTTCTGAAAAACTAGTTTTCTAGAAAACCAGGTCTTCGAAGGAATAAGGGCAACCCCATGGTCGATAACCTATAACCCACTAGATTCCGTACAAAAAGCATTTAATCACCTCGAAAGGTTCCCTGGTCAGTTTCTTTTATTATAATGAATGATCACCTATGCATTATCACAAGAAAATTATAATTTATCAACGGATATGACTAACGGTTTCGCATATCCTGATTAAAAATAGACTATAATTACTAGATTGAAATACCAAGCCAATATCGTATTCATAACCAGCGCAAAGTGTTACACTATAGTCGATCTTTCTGCGAAAATACCTGTGTTGTTATGTGAGTTTTAAAAAATCCAATTATGGTAGTTTAGCTGTATGTTAACATTGCAGATCAAGAAAAAAGCTCAGTTGTAGCTTACTGCTAATCATTCCTTGAGTTTTTCAAAAATTCTTAATCAACTAAACTCTATTTTGCTCAACTCAGGAATATAGAAAAACAAGTTCATATTCGGAATCGTCGTGCAAAATCGATGTAGTTTTTCAAACATTTTCAGACTTGTTTTTTGCCGGTCCAAAAATGTCTCATCATGCGTTCGTTGTTAATTGAAACCTAAGGTTTTTAAAATAAGAGTTTTTCCTGTAAGAATGTCATGTTGCTGTATAGAGAGTCATTTTAAACCAATTATCTCCGATGATAATGAACTTAACATCCGGGTGCCTAGTGGAAAATGCTCACTGTAAATGGCTGATTTCTTTTGTCGTTCAGCTGCCACGCATTTGCTCGATTGCTATCACATAATTCAAATGGAAGGTATGGTAAAGGCGTGTGGTAAACAAGCAAAGGGAGCAATAATCGCATTCCTTGGATTTTATGCTATTGGAATCCCTTTGGCGGGAGTATTCATGTTTGTTGTTAAAATTGATATTTATGGGTTTTGGGCCGGATATGCGACTGGAAGAGTATTTACAAATATTTTACTATTTGTTCTAATCAAACGCTTCGACTGGAAACATATCGCCGATTTTGCGAGTTCACGAAGTACAGATAACGTCATCCATCAGAGTTGGACAACACCAGCAGTTCGACGCTCGTCTCACGCGGTATTGAATACTTCAACTGTTTCCAAACTTCAAAATACAAGGCTTAGACGAGTACAACCAACGAATGGACAAATATCAACAATTACCAAACTTAATAAACAGACCAACAAGAATATCTCAGCCGTCGCAAAGTCAAACTCTAAGAATACGCCTGTACGTACAAATGGGCATATCTCATCCACAATAAAGAATACATCTTCTTCCAGAATCAAAAGAGAGATTGGTAGTCGACAGTTAACAACAGCTGTACAAGTAATACCAGCTGTTGCACAAGCGAAACCTGAAAAAACATTATACCGACTGATTATGTTTAAATTACTTGTAGCAATTCCATTTGTTCTCTTATTAGGAGCTGGAGTATTAACATCAGTATTCATTCCTTTAACATAAACAAAGTAGTGAAAGTCTCAATTTAAATTTCAGATATCAACAGTTATGATTGTAATTAAGAGAATTCTGGTTATTGAAGTACTTGTTTTGGCTGGTTTTGTGCATGCATTCCACAATGGAATTAATGCGCATGCTTTTTGGACCACTCGATATAAAAGATCGGTGACTGCGAATTGACAGCCTTTTTTTCCGTAGAGTCTTTATTAATTACTAAGGCTATATTTTCGTAAACTTTAATGTTATTTTCTGAATCAGATCTACTGAAGAGAACAAACTGTTCAAGTGTTTTGAAGTTTCAAAATCAGAGAAAAACGAATATATTGACAACGGAGAAAACATGGTAGAAAGAAAAAAGGCGCTGGTATTCACATAAGAGTAGTTTTCGCTTTTTCTCGAAAACTAAAAGTGGCGAGGAAAAGGGGTAGCATATTTGAAATCCTCATATCTGAACTAAACGATATATGCAGTTCCGATGCAGAGCATACCCCGAGGAAAGTAACCCGATGATCATGCTGATTTTTATGTTTGGGCGAAAAACTCAGCAATTTTTCAACGTGAAAATTCAAAAAAATGTCCAGTAGACTAACAAAGTACACCATTCGATTGCTGATTTTGAATATGATATTTTTATTGCATAGAAGTTGAGTGAGGATGAATAAAATTGAGAATTACGAGCAGAATTCCGATTTTTGGGCTCCTGATTTAAAAAATATGAACTATCTCAGTGACAACGCACAATGAAAAAAAAGCGCCATACACTTTTAAAGCTCGTTCAATGACTGTTCTAATGAGGTGCAAAAATTGGCATTCATCTCTTCAAAGCTAAATAGCTTTACAAAATTGTTTGTGAATTTTTTATAGCGAGAGTCCAAGGCTGATTGTTGTTTTCTTTTTCTATATGCGTATAATATACCATTCGATTTTGCTTTGTCCGAGAATCAAGAATGTTCTCTTATTTTTACAAAAATAAGAGAAAATGAGATTTTTATTAAAGCTAATTCATAAATAAATAAAATCCAATCAGAAGTAAAGTTTACTTCATAATGGCTAAGGAGAAAAAAAGTTTAGACTGAGACAGTGTCAAAATTGACTAAAACTTAATATTTTCACTTTCTCTCAATAAATATAAAGAACTGAATAAAAGTAAAAAGACTAAAACATGTATCATAAAATTCTCTACAAAATCATATATTCGGTTTGTTGGTTTCTTATATTTTTGAAATCCGGCAGGTTCATAAGTATCTTAAATCACATTTTTGTTATGAGTGAGAAAAGTAAACATTAATAATATGTCCTGAATACTGATGTCTACCTCTCTGTCCTCTGTCCCATAATACACTGAATAAAAATGCATATTTTATTGAAAGTTCTATTTCTTGTACGATTTCGAGCAAGAATTTTGATGAAAAATAAAAACTTTTTCTATTGGAAATTTTAAATAGACAGACATTGTTGTCTCAAAATAAATTGGTCAATGACTAATTGGGATCAGTAAGGTAAAACGGTTCGATTTTGAAAATACACAAATTGATTCCACCTCTGTTAAGGATTAAGTCGACCGAGTGAAACGATAAGGAGACTTATTCTGTTTAACTTCGAGCGTTGCTTGGCAATATTCTTCTTTCTTTCTTTCCACACTGTGTTCTCGTGTTCGAGTCAGACACTGGCGTTCTATCGTAGACCGTAAATTCTTTATACGATAAGATGCACATATGTCTGACATACAGATTCTACATGTCATATCAAGAAAAAGACGAATTTACGTTCTATGATAGAACTCTACTAGTTCTTGGTTACAGATTTCGGCAAAAGATGGTTCGAAAGTAGAGAAGTGGAAGATGACGCATCTGAAATTATTTTTCGGATATTGGCTTTACTTATCGTATATTTAGTGTCACAAAACGAGTATATTTTTGAGAGAACTCTATCGTTTCTCCTATGAAATAATTAATTATCACGTGATTGTCACGTGAATATATGTTACAGTGGTGGATGTGATGAAAGCTATACTATAGTAGAATATATGACACGATAATGAATCAGCTGATATAGGAATATAGAAATTCTTCTTGAAAAATAGTCAAACTGTTATGAGATTGTGAATGTTCTAATTTCGTCTGTTTACCGTTTCACTCAGTTGACTTTCCAATCTTCCCGAAGGACGGTTGGTCTCTATAGTTAGTTATTCAATCTATTCTAAATAAAATTGAAAATGGTGCCAGAACAATAACTATTTCGTTGAATATTTCTTTTTTAATGTGTTTAGCAGACAAAAACGCCATTATATTGGCTGTTTTTAATGAAACGACCAAATGCGTTAGTTTGTCAGCCAATGACTAATACACAAGATAACACGAAGCACGTAGTATATCACACGATCCTTTGACTCTGTTCTCGATCTGATCGAAGAATAATGAGCTATACACATGTTATACAGGCATAAGAGGTCTCGTGAATGTCACAAAACTCAGATAAGTAAAAGAAGATGGATTCATTTGATCTAACATGACATCGGAAGTGGGTTAGTTTTGAAATATACTTTGCAAAAAGCTGCTTGTATCAAAGCTCGCATCTATAACTGTAGATACTATGGAAGGAGGATATCAGGTCCGAATAAGGCCTGCCTACGTGAGTATGTCTATGTTTTGATACGGCATTTAACAGTAGGAATAAAGTCAATTATCTACATTTACAGAAACTAATAGAGTATAAATATTAGTCATTGTGGTGTTTGTACAAGTTATGTCCTATACAGTAAAATGAAAGTATCTCCTTTAGTTTTGTACAAAATAAGATAATCTCTTTATAACTGATATCATACTGTATAATGATATAAAACAATGAATCTACCATCTTTTGCTCAATTGGATTTATGCGTATAATCAGTAGTGGTAGAACTTGAAATAAAGGATTAAACAAGAGTGATGGATATATACATAAGAATATACTAGTAACCAACATTGCTTTTTCAATAAAAATGTACGTTTTGTTCTAGTATTAATATTAATTAAATATTAATTCATAAGGATCCATTGTTTGGATATATTCGGTCTTATCAACCATATCAACCAAGATACTAAAAAACTCTTTATCCATATCATTAAAAGCAGCAAGTATCAAACTATCAGTTAAATAAATATCATTATCAACACCATCAAAATCTATTAATCAAAGAGTCGGTTAGAAAAAAGGTTATATTAGAGACTATGTTTCATTTTTATTTACCAATGTAAGTAAACGAAATTCATTACTACTTGTACAATCGGCTTTCTTAGCGATGGTACGACAATAAGGATATTGATAAACGACACGTGCATCATTAACATTAACCGATTTTGTACATCGAATACATTTTAAACAATTACTGATTTGATAAAATTGACTGAAAATAACTGTTGTACGTCTTTCTTCTGTTAAATCAACCTTTTCCTTGTTCAGTCAATATATCTGCGGCTAATTTTAATTTCTGCAGGGAGAGTAGATTTAAAAAAAATTGAAATTAATACAATTAATTCATATAGACACGTTGGATATATACATGTATAAGGAGCATTTTATCTTAATATCGTCTCATTATTTACACATGCATCCTGTTTCATCACATAAAAGTGCATTAACAGATTTAATTGGTGAATTATCGTCGAAGGTACGTTTTTACATTATTTTTACTCATAACCTACACATTCAAATTAAATGTACGTTCTACGTTATTAAGTGCCTGTTTAACATCTTGTACAGTATTAAACATTGTATCTTTTAACACTGTTAAACGGAAATACTAATTCTACATAACCCTTTAAGGATTCAGTCCAAATGGGCCGAACAATTAAAGCTTTTTGACCCAAGAAATTGACGATGATATAGAAAAAACTCGAAAGAGGAAGAAAATAACTCTCTATTTTTAATACTCACTATTGATTAAATCGGTCGTTACAGTCAACGTAATTGCTTTTTTTAAACGACAAACGTCTTCAATTGTTTTATACGCCTCAAATTGTTCAAGTGTATTTTTATTTCCGTATATCTTGGTAAAAAATCGTGCATCAATCGTCTGTAATTCAAAATTTGTCCAAAAACTTTTAGGTTCCAAAAGTGGTTTTGTAATGTTGTGTACATATCCACTATAATCTCGTTCTTCTTTAAAATCACTTCCACTACACTATCACTAGTATTGATATTATTACTAGTCATTTATTTTTTTTATGTTATTAGAACAAAAATGTATGTTATTGATGGTTAAACTTTGTTTTTATCACACTAGACAAGTGTAGAAGATTTTAAATTTGAATTATGAGAAAATTATATTAAAAAAGTACCACTCTTAAAATAGTGAATGCAAAGTTAATAAAAAAATGAAACACAGAACTTATACGATGGGTTTAAAAAAGTTTAAACGTTTGGCTAAGCGCAAAAAAGAAAATACTATTTCGTCGACTCCGTTAACAGACTTATGTCTAGTAATTAGGGGCGGCACATCACTATTACTTTTACGAGTAATCCAAATATTGTATATATTCCTATTACCAGTAACAGTAATACTTTCCAGTTTTACTGTTGTTGGTAATAGGAATGCTCATAAAATTTGTACCGGCAACAGTAAAACTGAAAAGAATTACTGTTACTGGTAATAGGAATATATACAATATTTGGATTACTCGTAAAAGTAATAGTGATGTGCCATCCCCACTAGTTTATATATATTAGTTTAAATATTAGAATATTTAACCGATACGGATGCTAAATATATTAAATATATTTATGCAGTTAATTCTGATTACTTAATTTACACGGATTATGAATTGTGGAGACGTATTTATTTAGAAAAAATATATATTCTACAATTGTCTGATCAATATATGACAGCTAGAATACGTCAAAGTTATATTGTAAATACTGAAGATATAACATTAAAAAAATCCGGTAGTGCATATAGGCAATTTGTTTATACGATGTTCTACAGCGTTGCATTGTCAATGCCTGGATATTTGTACAATATCTTT